GTATCTTGAGTGGCGGATGTTCGGTTGGCTACAAACGTTTTCCAGCGTTGCGGAGACGGGCGAATCCACGCTAAAGCGATAGTTGAGTCAGTGAAAGCAAAGGGCGATTTATATGACATCTTGATTCAAAGTTAGCATAGCGAACAAGCTGCGAGAGTAAATGAGCGGCACAGAGTTCCAAACGATCAAGAGTTATTTTCTTAAGCGGAGCAATGCGAGAACGAGAACAGAGTAATAATACTTTTTCAGCGTGTAAGCTCAACGGACCAATAAATATTACAGCACCATAACACTTTATCATCCCCATGCTGCATTTCCAACACCCCTGTATAAGCAGTTTCATGCCAGCGGTAAGCGGAGAGAGTAGCCCAAAGGGTCATACAAAGAAGTTCAAGACAATTTTTTTTTATAGGATAAGGGTGACAAACGAGCACATAGTCCACCTGATGGTAAGTGGTTGCTGCGGCCCATAGACATCTACATCTATCCTCTATTACAAATCAAAATGTAGATGCGTTGTCACCCGTGAGGACTAAGATGGAATGCCTCATTTCCAGTAAAAAGGGCCTCCGGCCACCTACACTCACCAAGCAAAACGCAGAGGCAAACCTCTACTTCACGCTGGTTTTCTGTGAGATCGTGGTACCACCCCGGTTCGAGCCGGCCCATCCGTGCGACAGCAAAAACTGCCGCATGGCTCTACCACTATTAAAGAAACTCTACCACTCTACCACGGTTTGAGAAAGAATTGAGCGTTTGGTAAACGGGTCGTCAGAAAGCATAGCAATTTTAAAAGTAAAATTATCATTAGTTGGATCTCATCGCATACCTATTAATTTAGTTTCCGAATCTGATGAATTAAAATCTAATTTTTTGTTAAAGCGAGAATCTTCTGGAATTTTTTCTAAAAAGCAAGAAGACACCCATTTTGTTAACTTAAAACATCCGAGCGCATACATATTTACTAATTGACCATACAGTTGGTGCGCTTCTTCAGAAGAAGGAACAGAATAAATGAAGTCATCCATATATGAATATTTGGATACAACGGAAGCGGCGTGAGAATAATTTTTCTCTTCATCACAAGCGAGTTGTTGAACTACAAGGAGTGCTAGTGTTACGGCCCCCAGCTGCCCCGGCAAAAGTCGAATGGGCTAGGGCCCATAGTAGCCTCCTCAACGAACAGCCGAGGGTTCGGGCCCAATGGCCTATGGATTATTATTAATGGCTGCTAAGCAAACAAAACTTACCAAGTTCCGGAGGTAGGGTTGACCACAGGGGTACCAGTCAGGTGGTAAGTGAGGTGTATGTAAGTAGTGAGTAGTAGTGTGTAAATGTAACCTGACATCCACGATGTAGTCGGACAGCAGATCCACAGGCGCTGCTTTTCTCCAAATGTGCGATCCCTCCAGTGGGCGTTCACCAATTGAAAACTTTTGCTATTATTTCACTATATTAGTTTATCAACTTTATTGTACATTTAATTAACTTCAACTTTAACTAAGTCCACGTTAATCGAAATCAAACAAGTGACACACCTCACAACTAAAGCAGGGTCGGTCAAAGTTCAATTTCCCATGTTCACTTAGCAACCAATTATAATCGAGCACACGCGATCTCCTCTTGAGTCACAAATTCTAGCGTTCTCCCGACAAAGCAAAATTCCTTCGTAGGATATTAAAAGGTCACACAAACAACTCGTCGATGCAAATTCATGGCATAGAAGTTAATTTAATCACTCAAAACTCAAATTAAGCCTCGCTGTCACGTAACGCTCAAAACAAACACTCCATTCGAGGCGGTCTTAACGAGACCCAAATATTCAATAGTAAATTCAAAACGACGCGCACAATTAACCCAAATTTTAGACCGTCAAATCAAAACACCGGCGCGCGCAACCTACTAACGGTCGCAAACAATACTAGTCGAAAAGGCCGCGGCGTTCAAGACACTGTTGCCAGCCCACACGGCCGAATGCCGGGAAGCGGCACACAGCCCCCCCCCCCCCCGGCGGCGTTTACGTCACCTTGATACCGTCTTATGACGCGCCGAGGCAAGCTTTATTGGATGCAAATTTCAAATGCCCATATTTGACCTAAACAGCTAGATATGGCGAAAACTTTAAGATAATCTTTTAAACTCATATGTGTCAATAGGACTATTAACGTTAAATCGATACAATATTCTTTTAGAGGGACAATGGTCATCAATTAATTTTAATGAAAAATACATTTTTCTACATAGAAATTGTCGGAAATTAATAAGTAAATCAAAAATATGCGATTTAAGATTGGGTCAGCAATGTAAAATATCATTTAAACTCTTTCCCGATGTAGTTTTGCAGCTAGCGTCTAAATTACTATTCTAATTTTAAAAGTATCTTTTTCGGGTCAGTAAACGGCTCTGTGAGGAATATAGTAAGAACGAGATAAGTGCTGTTGCGTGTTGTTAATTTTAGTTAAAAATCCTTTATCTATATATTCCTGTATAGTAGCGTTATAGCCGTCGCGTAAAGCCACGTCAGAATCTAATTTTTTTTCTCTAAAGATAAATAGCGTCGCTTAGCGGTGTAATAAGATTCTCCTAATTGACACGGGTCGTCTCGAAAAGGTAAACAAACGACGTAGCGTCTGTCCGATTGTCTAGAAACATTTTCTGAAAATATGCGTTCACACTCACGGTCTTCTGGACTGAAAATTTTACGAGCGGTAACATTTTCGAGTGTCCATAGCTTTTGTACATTTTCACATAATGACGAGTCATCATATCAGTCGATAAGCGCATGAAAAGAATGTTTGCGCATATCGTTTGACGTAGTAGCAAGCGACACCCTCTTGGCCTGCCCCATTAATATATAACCGAGCGTCGATTCCAACGCTATAACAGTTGATTGCGGTTGTACGAATTTACGCGATAACAATAAGTGCGGGAATAACCCAGAACCAATTAAACGTTCAATTTCAGATGTAATGTTGAATATATCATCTGCTAAAGGAATATCTTTAAAATAATCAATCTTTTACATTTCATTTCAGCGATGGTAAATTTCCAGTAATATTCAAAACAACAGCGGCCTTTATCAAATACCTATATCTAGTCAAATTTCGGGAACGTCGAAAGGAGTTTTTTAAAAACTAAAATACAATTAGATTACTATGTCCGACCGATTTGGAGGTGGCTTTAATAATGAACGATATTCAAAGAGTCCGTTTGTGCGCAGACATGCGACTCATCAACTAAGTACTAGGAACTTACATACAAATGCTGATACATTAGTTTTACTGCTTAGTCTAAATAATACAATATTATATATTTTAATATTTTAGTCTAAAACAGAGGGACGGGGTGTATCCATAACTCCTCCCTCCCTAAGAGCAAAATTATCGGTAATATCATTTTTGATGCTTTTACGATAATTTTGGATGTAAGGTATACATTTTTTTCTTAACACGTATATAAAGATCAATAAGAAACTTAAAGCTAGGAAATTTAAAATTACATATGTTAGAACACTGAAGTTAGAGTCTTTTTCTCCGTTGAGAGCACTTAAATCTGTGTAATATATTTCACTGTGTTTTAAAGCATTTGACATATATTTCACTTCATCCAAGTTGACACCATTCATGTTAATTACGCGTGTACTTGTTACATTAATATTTGCACGTAAATGAGGTAAGTTGATGACTGAAACTGGTGGCGCCGCTTCGTATTCCGTGTAAACACGGTGGTGATGAATATAAGTACCGTGTATCTCCAGGTCACAGGGCTCATCGCTGGTTAGTATATAGGTTCCAAAAATTGGTTGTTTGGTGATCTCGTTACCGCAGTGCTTTGTCAGCGTCGTTTTTAACTTTGTAAAAACAATCCAATTTTCAGCTTTAATTCTCTGCACCTTAACGTCTTCAATTGTAATAGCATGTTGCGTGCAATAAGTAAGATTATTCTCAAATTTCATTAGCTGTTCTATGCAGGTAAGTCCAGGGTAGAGCGCTCTATTTTCTTCGGTACACAGGAAATCATTACCAGCAGCAAGGGGACGACACGGTTTCGTGACTGGTAAATATTTCATCCCTTTCACCAGGAGGTAAGGATATTTTGGGAAGATGGCAATCGTTTCGTTTACAGATTCACGGAAAATAGGTACGGAATAAACCTTAAAATAATTGTAAGTATTATTATCAGTTAACGGAATCTCCATTATAAATGCTATCTGGTTTTTCTTAAGATACGATTTTACACTTATGGTTTGTTCTAGTTTTACCAAATTAGTTTCTGTTGGTGGGTACACTAAATTTTCGGTATTCGATATTAGTTTTAAATGATCTAAAAGTTCTGTAGAATTTACTATAGATTGATGAAGTATCGATACTCTACTAAAAGCTAGAGCAGTCTCTATTTCACTTAATTTATAAAATATAGTTCGAAAATTACTTATAAATAAATTAAATAATCCAAAAATATACGTAGAGAAAACCCAGTTATTTTCTCTAGTCGTTAAATGATTTAGCATTGTCTCTACACTTTTCAAGCGTGCATCCAGCATAACGGAATTATTATTTAGGGTTTCCGTGGCATTAATACAGCTGTCTAACATTTTGGAGACCAAGGTAAGTTTCTTAGAAATGATAATTTGGTTGTGACTTAATTCCGAAGTAAGTTTATCATATTTAAGAGCATCTTCATGATCGAGGTTTCCCGTAATAATTTTTAGAACAGAACCTAATGGATTTAAGATCCCTCTCTTAAAGCGTCGCGGCATAAGTTGTTGGAATTTTTGAACGGTTATATCGCGTATGTACTCTACATGGGTTTTAACACTGATAAATTCACGAGGGTATGGTTCCTTTACTTCAATTAGTCTACTAAGCTTATGATATTGAGCAATAATTACATTCAGGTCGTCATAAATATTCTCCAAATTTAAAATCTTTATTATAGTCCAGTGATCTGTTTGGGCATATGCTTGTCCTTGTTTTACCGGAAGTATCCCTGGGTTTTCCTCAAGTGACTGCAGATGATGGGCCAGGATCGGCTTCGCAATCATCAGTATGCACCACCTGTGGAGGGCGTTTGATATTTTTAATTGGAGCTTTAGTCTTCCTTTCACCTATTTGTATCGGCACTATATTTCTTTCGACCTTGCCTACTACCTTAGCCTTAACATAGCGCGGTTTGTCCTTACTCTTTCTTTTGTTTGTATCTTTAGCAAATATAGTTTTACCACACTGAAATACCATCTCATCTTCACCGCCTTTCTTTTTCCTAATCTTTTCTTTAATTGCTACCATATTTTCTGCTAAATATTTGTATAAGAATTTTGTTCGCTTTGCATGGTCTCTTACTAAGTGTTGTAAATACTGCTTATCAAATTCTGTATTAAACGGGCTACCCGTGTCGGTATGTCCGAAAACTACCTCGAAGGGTGTAAGTTCTGTTACCGAATGAATAGTATTATTATATGCTAGTACGGAATACGTCATAACTGATGCCGCATCAGTAGGTTTCCTTTCGTATTTTGCCAATCTGTAAACTTCTATGATTGTCGAGTGGAAGCGTTCTATAATCCCCATCGAGCTTGGGCTATTTGGGGTGCCAATGTGTTGCTCAATTTTATAAAAGCTTAAGAATTCTTTAATTAATTCATTGTTAAATTCAGAGCCCGGATCTGAACTTATCTTTTTTGGTATCCCGTAAAAAGAAAAGTACTTCATTAAAGCTCGGACTACTTCGGGGGTGGATCTATTTGCAATTTCTATCGCTTGGCCTAATTTGCTAAACGCATCTATGAGAGTCAGATAATGTTTTCCTTCGATATTAAACAGGTCTATAAATATCTCTTGAAACGGAGCATCTTGGGTCTGGGTTAATTGAAGAATAGGTTTAATTGGCTTTCTGTCATATTTCATTTTTTTACATGCAGTGCAACTATTTATTATTGCCGAAACAGTTTCTTGTAAATTATCCCAATAGTAATTTCTGCGGATTCTAACTAGCGTCTCTTTAATACCCCGGTGACATGTCTTTCCTTCGTGATACTTAATTACAATCGCCCTTTGTTCTTTTTCGTCTTCAACAAAAATTACTCGTTCCGTGCATTCATAAAATTGAACCATGTCCTTTTTGAAAAGGTGTATAATAATATTGCTAAATTGTCTTCGATGTTCTTTTCGTTCGAAATATATAAAATATTTAATTTTAGGCCTAATATATTTCTTTAAAAATTCTTTAATTAATTCGGAATTATCTAATGGTAAAAATACTTCTAAAACTTTTTGTTTTTCCCTAGAAATATCTTTAACCTGATATTCATTTTTGAACCATGAAAATATTAATATTTGATTTGGCTTTGTATCGATAGCCTCGTGTAGTATTGGTATTCCATTTGACTCTAATTCTACGGCTGAATGCACAGTTTGGGACTTACTAGATTCTGAAGGTGATCGAATTGGATATTCGGAAACCTTTTCTGAACTACAAATTGATATTGTGTCGGAAAGAGACATAGGACTCGCGGAAACAGTACTTGAGTCTGATATTGTCACAATGGACGTTGTGTCATTATGTCTTTTATTTTGAGTGTTTAGTTTTTCAATTTCCTTAACTACGTCTTTCAGATGCTCTCTAAGTTTATACTCTTTGCTGTCGAAATTAACGTCCATCGAATGACCTTCGTCGTCTGAATTTAAGGCATTAACTTTAATTCTGGATAGGGCATCGGCATTTGTATTTTGTTTTCCATTTTTATAAATGATTTCAAAATCGTACTCCTGTAGTCGTAATCGCCATCTGGTAAGCTTACTGTTTGGTTCCTTTAATGAATAAAGCCAAACTAAGGGTCGGTGGTCAGTATAAATTACAAATTTTCGTCCGTAAAGGTACGGTCGGAAATGTTTTACGGCCCAAATAACAGCTAAAAGTTCTCGTTCGATGGTGCTGTATCTACTTTCAGTGTCACTAAGCGTCCTACTAGCGTATGCAACAGGTCTATCACTACCAATAGGTCCCTGTGATAGAACTGCTCCTAAAGCTATATTAGAGGCGTCAGTCGTCAAAATAAAGGTTTTATCGAAGTCCGGGTACTGTAATAAGGGTACACTCGTTAATATTTCTTTACATTTTTCAAACGCATTAATATATTTTTCATCGATGGTAATTTTATTTCGCTTTTTAAGGCATGCAGTTAGAGGTTGTGTGATCTTAGCAAAGTCCTTTATGAATCGTCGATAGTACCCTACCAGTCCTAAGAAACTTTTAATTTCCGTTGTTGTCTTAGGTATAGGAAAATTTAACACAGCATTAATTTTGTCTGTGTTCGGACGTAGCCCTTCTTTTGTAATGGTATGTCCTAAATATAAAACCTCTTTCCTTAAAAATTCAGACTTGTCTAATTGAACTTTTAGATTGGTCGCCCTAATTCTGTCAAATATCGTCCGTAACTTTTGTATATGTTCTTCCAGACTGGTCGAAAACACAATTATATCATCTAAGTATACCATGCAGTGTATCCCCTGTAATCCCCTGAGCACACTATCCATGGTCCGCTGAAAAGTTGCAGGAGCTGTCTTCAGGCCAAATGGCATCCTAAGAAATTCATAATGGCCGTTTTGAGTGCTAAAGGCTGTTTTTTGCCTGTCTTGTTCTTCTATTTCGATTTGGTGATAACCACTTGCTAAGTCGATTGTACTGAAATAAGAACTCTTCCCTAACTTGTCAAATAAATCTGTTATGTTTGGTAGTGGGTATTTGTCGTCTATGGTTATGTCATTCAAACGTCGGTAGTCTATAACCATACGAAATTTAATTTCACCAGATGCATCCATTTTTTTGGGTACAAGGTGTACAGGAGCATTCCATGGCGAATGTGACTCCTGAATAACATTGTCCTTTAATAACTTGTCTACTTGCCTATTTATCTCGTCCACTTGCATTGGTGCTTGACGGTAGGGTCTAACATAAATTGGGTCTTCATTTTTTGTGCGTATCTTATGTTTAATTTCGTTAGCGAAAGTTAGTGGTAATTTGTCGCAGTAAAATATGTCTTTAAATTCTTGGCAAAGTCTAAAAATTTTGTCGCGTTCCTCATCGTTAGTATGATTAAGTCTTAGTTTAAGTAGATTATCCTCGAGTACCTTATCGATCTCTAAGTCACTATAGGTACTTGTTACGTTTATGTCACATTGAGTAGTCATATCATACTTAGTAACTGTAAAAGGTCGTGTTACTGTCAATATCATTTCTTTGTCAAGAACGTTCTGTATGACGGTTGCGGCATAACCGTTAACGCAATTTACCAATGCACTAGGCATTCGTACACCGCTGACAAATTCCTTATAATTAATGATTGCCTCTCCAGAACATTGGTCTGTTGGCAATTTTACGCGCCGCTCTGATCGTGGTGGTAGTGTTATAACATAATTCAAGTTATTATTAACTATTGGTATGCAAGTTGTTTTAGTTTTAAGTACAAGGTCTTTAAGGTCTATAATTGTATCTAGTTGTTTCAATAGGTCATTACCAATGAGACCATCATATCGAGAGTCGACGTCATATAGATAGAATTTATGAAAATCTGAACTCTTAAAAGTGGGTGGTAGGGGGATTTCTATCACCTCATCGTGTCTGCTAGAGGCGTGGGTACTGACTACTTCGAATGGTTCGTGTGTTATATATTGGTAGAAGTGTTGATATGCTTTACGAGGGCTGATAAAAGATCTAGTACTACCTGTATCTACCATTAATTTTGCATCTATTTCAGGGATATAAATATAGGGTAACTTGAGATTCGGATCACAATTTAGTTCTATGACTTCTTGTCTCCGATGGAGGCTTTCATGTGAAAATTTTCAAGAGTTTGAGGTTGAGTTTCGTCTGCAAACTCGTCATAAGTTGTTTCGTCAACAGTTTCTTCCGGAGATGGTGTGAATTCGTTATCATATTGCTCTACATATTCGTCTGTGTCATAATACTCGTTATACTGTCCGTCATTTTCTCTTAAGGTCAACTCATTTAATCTAAAGCCGGGTTGTGGCCTTGGAGGAGCTGTCCTCATGGAAACGTCAGTCTCTTGAAAATTGGGTTTCTGAGTTTGTGGTTTATTACCAAATTGTGTAGTTGGCATATGGCCAAATTGCTGTTGAGGTCTTTGACCAAAATGATGTGGCTGAAAGCCCAGTTGTGGACGGTAACCGAACTGTTGTGGCTGAGGGCCGAGTTGTGGACGATAGCTGAACTGTTGTGGTTGCTGGCCAAGTTGTGGCCGATAACCAAATTGAGGTGGACGGTAACCTATCTGTTGCATTGGTTGAGGACGAAAGCCAGATTGGGGCATCTTAAATTGGCTTTGATTTTGAATGCCGAAATTAAATTTTGGTGTAATGTTATTTGGAAACACTGGTTTGTATCCGTATGGTTGCATTACCGTGTGAGGCGCATTACCGAATTTAAATCCTTGTATTGGAACTGATGTTTGAGGCTGCCTTAAAGCTAAACCACTACTACCGTGAACACGATTACGCATATTGTATTGATCGTGGAAGTTGACTTCCTCTAGTACAATGCTCAGCGCGTCTTCTAAAGTCGCTGGCCTCTTTAACCTCACTATCCGAACCATATTCTCGGGAAGATTGTATAGGAATACGTTTAGAGCTGTATTGTTGTAAATTGCCAATTTAGCGCTTTTAAGATTACTATCATCCGATATGTTTACTTTTGAAATTAATAATGATCGAATACTTTGAATGCGGTTACAAAAATCTTGAAAGTTTTCACCAGATTTAATCTTTAAAGATTCTAATTCAATACTAATACACTCTTCGCTACGGGGGTCTCCGAAATGTTGCGTTAGCAAATCTTTCAACTGCGACCACGACACGACATCCTCCCGTTCCGATAAGAGTGACGCCGCGTTATCTGTAAGCCTACTAGTTATAGAATGATAAACGTATAAATTTTGTTCTTCGTCACCCCTATACCTACGAATGACATATTCACATTTCCTCAAAAACAAATTTAACTGTCTTTTGTCGCCATTAAAAAGTGGAATAAGCCGTAGCATTTCTGTAGGAATGGGATTAATTACAACGGTCTGTCGTTCTGCTGCCATTGGTTGTTCCATCGTTATAGAGTAATACACGCGTCAGAGGAGTCAGTTAATATAGGGCGCAATTTTATGCAATAACACAAAATATAAGGTAGAACACACTAAAGCATATAAAAATATAATTTATAAAATAAAAGTTTATTTAAAGTATAAAATGTGTAAAAGATGTAAATGTAATGAAAAATAAAATTAAATGAAATAAAACTGTATTATATCTCTAGCATTAATAAAACATATATTCTTTAGTTATCAAGTAAAGCTTTAATTACATTTAATTTATTAATTTTATGAAATGTCTTATTTTTAGAACGTTTAATAATCTCTGTGTAAAAAGGCACTCTGTGTCCCTTATTCTTATCACCGTTACGCCTACACTAATAGAGTGTCTATTACTAAATATATTTAATTGAAAAACCAGATACGTTATAATGAGAGAAGTCCGATCTCAATAATAACAAATTTAAATAAAAATGAAGGATAGTAGTGGTATCAAGGATGGTGAAAAGTTTTACTCACCAACCAGCCGCTATTCCCATGTCTTCCGTTTCCCTCGATGACAAATTTCTTTGGTTCTTGGATTTGTCCAACAGCTATTCGCGCCGCTATCACGAATTCAGGCGAATTTGGACACCTGAATATTTCGAGAGACGGTACAGCCTTTACGAACAAATCCTACCGGCTGCGCCAGTCAAATTTCGGGAACGTCGAAAGGAGTTTTTTAAAAACTAAAATACAATTAGATTACTATGTCCGACCGATTTGGAGGTGGCTTTAATAATGAACGATATTCAAAGAGTCCGTTTGTGCGCAGACATGCGACTCATCAACTAAGTACTAGGAACTTACATACAAATGCTGATACATTAGTTTTACTGCTTAGTCTAAATAATACAATATTATATATTTTAATATTTTAGTCTAAAACAGAGGGACGGGGTGTATCCATAACTATCTATTATCGAATAGGGATTCAAACGCGAGTATCGTATGACCCAAAACAGTATTTTCAGATTACCCTATGCCATGAACTTTAGACTTTTCGTAAATAATCGGAAGGTTTAATCGACGGTATTGCTAGTGTTGAAATAAGAAAGTACCGTAGCTACTAAGAGAGTGCTGACTGTGTGCTTTGTGTCAGCGGATCCCTATTAAAAGGGAATCTATAACAACCCCCCCCCCCCCCCGTTGAGAGGAAACTCACCCTTGAGTGAGTTTACGGCTACTCTATGCGTAGCTGTGGTTGATCAGCGTGATGATGATTTTTTGTATTTTCTTTGTTAAAATTAAAATGCTCTCTGAAAGACTTTCCTCTCTTACAAATTATATAGGTTTTAATAGATATGCAAAGTGTTACAGATATAAGACTTATACAAAATACAAATTTGGACTCTCTAGGGTGTCTAGTCGTTTGATAATCTGATCGGAATCAGTGCTGTAAGATTTTAAATTTTCTAAATTCAAAGTTTTTACATTTATAGAAGACGTAAGGTTAACTGAAAATTTGGTAAGGTTACATAACTTACAACAACTATCATTAATTATATTAAAATCCGAATATATTCCGGGAACACTTATACTAGGGTAGAGCTTAGTTTCTAATTTCAGATTCTTATGGAAAGATACGCAATAAGGAGGAATTGTGAGTAAGCCCGTCACGGATAGAGTGTATTCCGTTAAATTGTAACTACACTCCACTGATAACTTAGTGGGTTTGGTTTGAACAAAAATCCATTTGTTGTTGTATAGTTTATGCCATATATCCAGATCACCGGAAATTAGTCTAAATGGACAGTTATGTGAGATTGATATCAAGGCTTTCGTCATAATTTCTATTTCACAGGGTACATTATTGGATACTGTAGCTACATCTACAACATCACAAAGATAGGTATTTGTCGGGATATTTTTACAATTATTTATGTCTTGTAGATAAACATAACTTGTTTTATCTTTGCTTAGCGTTACAAACTTTTCAGAAGGGATGATCATGGCAAAAGAGTTTGCTCTATCTTGAGCATGTGGAGTTGGCAAAGGTAAGTTCTTATATATATTATATTCTAGCAAACCAACTAAAGGTAGTTTTATGATAAAAATAAGCTTATTGTCTAAATAATAACATACTAAATCGGCAATGTTAATTAAAGTATGAATGTTACTTATTTCTAGAGATATTGGAAAATCTTTGTATTTTGGCATAATTCTTAGGTTACTAATTATATCATTATACATTTGATTTGGGCTTAGTATAGATGGATGTAAGGTGTTGGTTTTTACAAATAAAATTGAGTTGACAAATCTTCGACTTTGAATGACATTGTAAGGTAATTAGATAGCAGGGTGTTTAAAACATTGGATAGTTTCGTTTGAAAACTGAGTATATTTAACATTTCAGATGCATTTTTAACAGTAGAAGATAAGAGTTCAATGACGCTATTTAACCTTATTTGATTGTCATTTAATTCCTCCAGGGATTTATTAACATTAGAAATAGCGGATTTAGAAACTAAGATATGTTTTTTGGTAGACTCTGCTAGTTTAGTTTCGTTATTAAATAGAGCATGAATAGCTTTGTTGTAGTTTTCAGCGTCATCTTCATCCAGTGTGCCGAAAATGTGTTTAAATACCGTGCCAATACCTGAGAACCAGGCAGATCTCTTGTACATACCGTTTAAGATAATATGGGAAATCGCATTAAAATCTCTTAAGATGTCGTTGTAAAGTGCTTCTAGGGGTTGTAACATATTTTCACACTGAGTAAAATCTATGTCCGCACTCTCACGACACTGGAATCGGATTATTTTAAATACTTCATGAATGTGCTCCAAAGGTGTCGGATTGGATGTACGTTTACCGGAATAACGATGTGAAGTTGATCATTAATTATCCTCAATGTACCAACAGGGTCGAAGAATATACCATGGCTCTTGTCGATGCGTTATATATATTGACCATTGCCGGTTCAAGAATAATAGCACAAAATGCGGTGGCGGTTCTGTAAATAATAATTAAGAGCTTACTAAGTCTAGATTGTATAATAACGTGTATATAATGTAAAAGAAAAGTGTATAAATGAATTGTAAGTGTTAAAACATATGTCTTAAAACGAATGTAATTTTGATATTTAACAACTTATGTCATGAGCGTGTTTCACTTCATCGAAGTGGTGGCGTCTGTTAATAAGGAGAGTAAGGGTATTATTACGGTGGACCTTGACAACTTTGTAAGGCCCCTTCCAAATGGGGGAGAGGGCTTTGCGAAGACGAAGATGATTTTTGATGTAGACGTAATCTCCTATTTTATACTTGACCGTGCGAGAGTTTCTGTCGTAGTATGTTTTAGACCTTTCTTTTGAAATTTGTATATTTTGTTGGGCTCTCTCTCGACAAATCTTTAATCGATGCTGAAGCATTTTAATGTAATCAGGATAGGTAACGTTACTTTTTGATTCGAAAATGGCATCGGGAATATACGGCTTATGACCAAAAAGAAGTTCGTAAGGAGTGAACTGAGTTGTTGTATGGACGTTACTGTTGTAGGCTAACATCGCCGTATAGACGTTGTTACGGCCTACGGCTGCTCCCTTAAAGGGTCCAATCCTCTGGGGCCCATGAGCAGAAGACTTCCCGAGCAGACGTAGGTCGGGCCTCAATGTGGCCACGTGGAAATTCCTAATTACACTAAACAATATGGGAGGACGCTAGAAAGACATAGTACTTACCATTATCCGAAGCTAACTTCGCACCAAGGCTTGGGCAGGCCGTGAGTGTGTGTAATAGTGGATGGAGAGAGAGAGAACACGGAGTTTACAGTTTATTAAAGGTCACTACCGTTTCGCGTCGCAACAGTTAGTTCTAGAATATCAGAGGCCGCACTAGCTAATATTGCCTAATGCACTTATGCAGATTCTGAGTCAAACACAATGAGTCCCTGGGAAGCTCTCCAGCAGGAATGCGCGTCACAATGGTAGACTGTATATTTACTGGCCGCTCCGAATTATTCCGAGTTCCCGACAAAATGACAGAGTGCCAATCGTGAGCACTGCCTAAGGACGACTTACTTGGGCGTTTTACGCACGACCGAATGTCAAACCGGTATGACACTGAGCCGCGCGCCCTCTCGCGTTCGTTCCCGAAATTAGCGTTTAGCGCGAACAAACCCCCGTCCCGGACATAAGGATTTAGGTCCGCGAGCAAACCGGGCAGCGGGACAAGGTCGCGACGGCAAGTTGCAAGACCGAATCTACAACCAAACTAAGCCACCTTAGGCAACCCATCAGATCTTGCAACCCTAATCAACGCCTCAAAAGATAGCCCTAATGTGGCAAGCCGGAGGGTCAGCCTCCACTGGATGCCCCTCCTGGGCATCGCAGCACTTTAATAAGTCCTGTACTGGACAGAAGTCCGACGACCTCTTTCAAACACCTATCTGTGCCCCTATGATTAGTTCCGCAATCCGACCGGATCAGCTCTGCAAACAGCGACGCTACACGAAGCTACCCAGACAAATTTTGTGCCAACAGTTGCTTCAGTGCAGAGCGCACCCACAAATTCCACATGAACGTCGTCTGTAGAGAGCCGAACGAAACGCACAGATAGTCCCTAGTATGAATTTTCAACAAGTAGGCCTAGCCAGGCCACCCACCATATTATCATTTACTAAAATAGTGCGGCAGCTGATTTCAATCTGATAATCTCCAAAACTAGCTAGCCTGTTAGACAAGTAGTCCTATGCTCATATTTCAACTAATTTTTCAAAAGCATCAATGTTCAACTACAGAATCAATTCAACCAAATTCATCACCGATGCGCATAGGTCAACTTGCAAATTAAACAAAACAATAACGTAAGGGACAGCCCTACTTCTTCGCAAAGCAAAATGATTAAACACTATCATAAACATATACATAATTTTTCAAATAGCGCGCCATTCAATTTCCTTTCAGCAAACAGACGCAACAATCAAATACAGTGATTAAATATATTTCCAAAACACATGCAGTAGAATTTAAAGGAGTACATTAAATTCAAACCGCTACAGATAGGAAAATTTCGCGGAAAGCCCAAAGCATTTTTTAATTTTAATTCAAAGTATTTTTTTACTAAGTGCTCGACCAAACCAAATCTAATACCCCTTGACAGCGTGATTCAACACTCCAGGGGGGCCCTAATCTTCCCACCACCAAGGGGAGGACACATGGCGTGAACCCGAGATCAATAGAGCGCGACCGCTAACAGTCGCCACTCGGGTTGTAAGCCTCACTGAGGACGTCGGCAACAGAACACCTTGACAAGTGGACTGTTGACGGCTTAAGGCTCAGTGGAGGCGGCCGTGGTGGGAGCTAAGGCGGCAGCTAGCCAGGGCCGCCTCCATCAAATGGGGAACAGTGGTACACCAGTCGCGGCCACTCAGCTAACGGGAGTGATAAGGGTCCAGCGGACCGATGAGTGGCCGTGAAGTTCCTCTCCACACGCTGAGGGGGGGCGATGACACCCCCGCCCCTGGGGGAATTACCCCCCGACTGGTCGGGGGAGGGACCCCTTCCAAACTTAGGGGCCTGGTGGCTGGCCGGCGGGCGCCGATTGTCGCCCGGCAGAAGGCGTGGCTGAGCGCCCCCGCCCGTGGGGGTCGAGGGCCTGGCAGAGCCCCGAGAGGAGACGCCGTTCGCACCCAGGTACAAAACTGCATGGTGATTGCCCTGGCAATGCAAACAGGGCCGTTGATACGGACAGTCTCGATGGAGGTGCCCTCCCAGACATGAACAGCACCAGCGGCGCTCCTTGGCGATAGTTCGCCTCGCCAAAACCGGCTTACCTAATAATTTCGGGCACGACGTTACCCGATGATCAGACGCTCGACAATAGGAGCAGGGGAGGGTTGACGACGACTTGCCTGGAGGATTCAGCCTCTCACTGGGCACGGCTCGTAAGTCGTCAACGGTGCCCACCGCGTTCTCTATCTGCCGGCATTGCTCCTCCAAAAACGGCAGCAGGTCATAGAAGGGCGGAATATAGGAGGCCTCGTCCCCGCCGTACCTCTCCTCAAAATGGACTCGAAGGTCGAGAGGTAGACGGGACAGCACGATGCGGAGCAACAAAAAAGCCCATTCGCCCACTGGTAACTCCAGCCGCCTCAAAGTATTACAGGCCACCAAGACTGGATCCAACAGGTCCGGACGCAGTCTGGCCCGGTCACTAAGCAGCGGGAGGATTAGAAGCTGCTTAACATGTTCGTCCGCAATTCGCCGGACGTTGGCGTATTTTCTGGCTAGGAGGTCCCGAGCAGTCTGGTAGGCGTCGTCCGACAATCTCAAGTGGCCGACGACGCCCAGGGCCTCCCCCTCCAGTGAGACCAGGAGGTACGCCATCTTTTGGCTCGGGGTCAAGTCACTCCGGGCGTCCACTAGGCTGTCGAAAAGACCAACGAAGGTCAGCCATTCGGAAAGGACCCCGGAGAACTTTGGCAGGTCCAGAGTTGGGAGTCTTCCCAACAGCTCCGGCTGAAGCTGCTTCAGAGAGAACTCGGACAGGTCACTCATCCGAGGTTCACGCGCCTCCTCGGCATACCTGCCTTCAGCCTCGATCAACTCGTCCGTGAGCCACAAGAACTGCTCATAGTCCGCGAAGCAGGAGTCCAGGACTCCCTTCTCCACATCCGAATCCTCGAGCTCAGCGTAAGCCTCCTCCACTGCGGCCCTTCGAGCATCCACCTGCTCGAACCGCTTCATCAAGTTATGGACCCTATCCGGTCGACCTATCAAAGCATGGGCGCTTGTGGCCCAGCGCAACTCAGTCCGCAGGCAACGGATTAGTAGCTTGGGCGATGACATCACTACTAAATACAAATTGCGACGCGGCTCGAGCACAAATTACAAGATAACAAATAAAAAATACAACAAAAAATTAACAGTTAATAAATGCAGTTCCTATCAAATCGCGTTGAATAGAAATTACACAAATACGAATTACTACGTATCAACCAAATACAAGTTAGCACAAAAGAAAAGACACAAATCAAATTAACAAATAACAAATACTAGTGCGATCAAATCAAGTTAAATTCAAATGGCGCAAATACCATTACTACTCTTTAGTTCAAATACAAATTACAATACAAATAAGATACACATCCCGGTCGATCAACAAAAATGCCTAGCTCGGAAATCGACCCTTCGATAAGTAATCCACTACAACTATCCGACAACTATAATTAACCGATTACGTAAAAATAATCATCTACCTACATGACGTATATCTCTAGAAAACTCCCGCTTGCGCAACCTAGGGCGCGGCTTTTCAAACTATTCACTAACCAAAAAACAAGGCAAGCAACAAACAACAAAGGGAAATAATTTTATTATTACGTACAAAAAAATATTTTTACGTATTACGGGCGGGCGTGATTGAAGATACAAATTAAACCAATCAAACCAACGCTCCCTGCCACCAGAATTATTAAATTTTTATCAAACACTATGGTCGGGATCGACCGGGGAATCGAACCCGGAACCGCGCTCTGCTACCAGATTGTTACGGCCTACGGCTGCTCCCTTAAAGGGTCCAATCCTCTGGGGCCCATGAGCAAAAGACTTCCCGAGCAGACGTAGGTCGGGCCTCAATGTGGCCACGTGGAAATTCCTAATTACACTAAACAATATGGGAGGACGCTAGAAAGACATAGTACTTACCATTATCCGAAGCTAACTTCGCACCAAGGCTTGGGCAGGCCGTGAGTGTGTGTAATAGTGGATGGAGAGTAGTGTACAGTGAGGGGTGAATGTGTGGGGTCTTGTCAAGCATAGGCGACCAGCCGCTGCCGAGTTCCAGGCTGCTCCAAAATGCTGCAACACTGCTTCAGATTACAGAAGCCACTAACTATCGCGGGTTATAAGGTTAACGCACAAAACGCACACGGAGTTTACAGTTTATTAAAGGTCACTACCGTTTCGCGTCGCAACAGTTAGTTCTAGAATATCAGAGGCCGCACTAGCTAATATTGCCTAATGCACTTATGCAGATTCTGAGTCAAACACAATGAGTCCCTGGGAAGCTCTCCAGCAGGAATGCGCGTCACAATGGTAGACCGTATATTTACTGGCCGCGCCGAATTATTCCGAATTCCCGACAAAATGACAGAGTGCCAATCGTGAGCAATGCCTAAGGACGACTGACTGCCCTTGGGCGTTTTACGCACGACCGAATGTCAAACCGGTATGACACTGAGCCGCGCGCCCTCTCGCGTTCGTTCCCGAAATTAGCGTTTAGCGCGGACAAACGTATTTGTGCCAATCGGTTCGGTTTTCGTTCACGAAGGACTTAAGATACTCTTTCAAAGTGGCATGGCTCCTTTCGAGAGCACCTTGAGTCTGGGGATGATACGGAGAGGACCATATCTGTCTTATTTTTAAAAATTCACATGTACGTTTGAAAAGGTCAGCCGTAAAATTTGTTCCTTGATCGGTAATTAAGGATTTAGGGATCCGAAATTGTGAAATGAAGTGAACTAGAGCTTCGCATGTTTCTTCTGCGGTGACGTTGGAAATTGGATAGGCTGTAGAAAATTTGGTTAGATCATCTTGGAGAGTGAGTATAAATCGGAGTTTGTGAAAACCCGCTTCGGGTAAGGGGCCTACTATGTCTAGGCTTATTTTCTCAAATGGACGAGTAGAAGTGGTTGTGATTTGCATAGGAGACCGGTTAATCTTGCGTAACGGATTATTTGTTTGGCAACGTTCGTAATTTTGTATATACCTCTCTATATCTGTGCGCATGTTTTTCCAATAATAACGTTCTTTAAATCTATTATACATTTTATTTCATCCTAAGTGACCAGCTATTGGTATATCGTGATTTTCTTTTAGAATTTTCGATATCTCTGTTGGTACAAAGTATATTATGGAGTTATGATGTATATTTATCGTTATATTTGTATTTTTATATAAATACATAAGCATGCCGTATATTTTGACAATCGAATGTTGTTTGAACAGATTCTTAAAATCAGAAACTGCGATTTCACTAATATTACCTGAAAGTATAATGTCGTCCCTGGCGCCTTTTAAGGTATTGAAGATTTCGGGATAGGAGCTGTCATCAATATAATTTACTTTTGTGAAGAGAAGATAATAAATTTTGCCCTTTGACTCTATCTTTTTAAATGAGTGAAGTTCTCGTTCTTCGTTTAAGACGTTTGCGTCACTTAAACCGGAAAGAATATCCTCAAGGTAGGGATTTGATTCGTCAAAATCGATAGATACGGGAACTAGGATTGTTTCGCAGTTGCTTTTTAAAAGGCTCTCATTATATTTTTTTATGTAAGTATTAAATGTCTCATCCTTTTTTAAAAAATTTTTTGGGATTTTGCGTCTAATGGAATTGAATCAGTGTGTTCGGGATTCAACAGTTCTGATGGACTGAGATTCAAGTCACCCAGTTCAATGAGTTCTTCAAGAATATCTAAAGGAAGTTCAGGATCTTGAGTAGTTTGAGGTTCTTCTTGGGAGGTGGAAGGTTGCGAATCTGAGATAGTATCATTTCGTATAACCGGATTAACAGGGAAACGGGATAATGCGTCTGCGTTACTGTTAATTTTGCCCTTTTTGAATTCGACCTCGTAGACACCTTACTAGTTATGACCCCGGGTTTTTGCAGTTAAATAACCACTTAAGTGGGCAGTGGTCGGTAATAATTTTAAAACGACGGCCATATAGGTATGGCCTAAATACTTTAGTACCGAAAAGAATTGCTAAGCATTCCTTTTCTGTTATACTATAGTTACACTCGGCTTTATTTAAAGTTCTTGAAGCATAAGCGACATATCATTCCCTATGAGACCTTGTGATAATATGGCCGAAATAGCAAAATTTGATGCATCACAAGTCAACACGAAAGGCTTTGTGAAGTCTGGGTAGGCTAATATTGGAGCAGTAGTCAAACAATTCTTTAGTTTCAAAGGCTAGTTGTTGCTCATTTTGCCAATCGAAAGGAATATTTTTCTTCAGAAGGTTATTTTTAAGAAACGTAACCTCCACACTAGGATTTTCTCCTGTATCCTGGAGGCAGTTTACAAACATAAATTGCACAAGGACAAACATCCCGACCCGGAACAAGTATTTGTAGGCCATACATATACTTGTTCCGTGCGGGATTCGAACCCGCGACCCTTAGCGCTGCAACTCAATTGCTAAGCCACTGCGGAACGGAGCCGTAAAGGTTTGTGAGAGGTTTTGCAATTTTGGATAGATTTGGTATAAATCTTCGATAGTATGATACTAATCCCATGAAAGATTTGATATCTTTTGGACATCGAGGTTGTGGAAATTGTTGAACAGCTTTGGTTTTCTCTAAATTTGGCTTTACCCCCTCGTCGGTAATGATATGATTAAGATATAACACTTCCTTTCGGAGAAATTCGCACTTATCTGGTTGGAGCTTAAGATTGAAGTGTCGGAGTCTGTCAAAGACGTTGGAAAGATTATTTATGTATGTTTGAAGATCGTATGAGTAAATAACGATATCATCTAGGTAGACGAAGTACTGGAGTCCTTGTAGGCCAGATAGGGCAGTGTTCATCAACCTTTGGAATGTTGAAGAGGTGTTTCTTAGCCCAAAAGGCATCCTTGTAAATTCAAAGTGTCCTTGCGGAACAGAGAAGGCAGTTTTAGGAGCGTCCTTTTAGGACATTCTTATCTGGTGGAAACCGGAAGCAAGATCTAATTTCCCTAACTGATGAAGAATTTCTGTTATGTTGGGTATCGGATAGGAATCTCCTATAGTGATGTCGTTTAGACGGCGGTAATCTATGACTACGCGATATTTAGGTTGCCCGGACGCATCGATTTTCTTTGAAACTATCCAAATTGGTGATGACCAGGGTGATGTCGAGGGTTTGATGGTGCCGTCGTCAAGCATTTTATTTATTTGGCGTTCTACTTCTGGTTTATGAATGTCAGGGAAGCGGTAAGACTTAGCGTTAATTGGTATGGAAGACAAAGTAGGAATTTCGTGTTTGTGAATTGTGTGTTGCTAGACGTTTGTGTTAGTTAATTTGTCACCAGGCAGATGAAAGATATCGGAGTAAGTACAGGAAAGATCACATAGTGCTTCTTTCTCTTCCTTGTTTAGGTGTGACAATCTTAAGAGATTTAGAGTTTGATCGGTGCGAGTAAGGACGTTATTTCGTGAACCGTCTGAAAAGTATAAAAGATTTGATGATTATATTTATTTTCCAAAGGTTATAGCGTTAGTTTTAGATCGGAATTGACGATTAATTCGCTTTCGGAAGTATTTACAACGGAGATATTAATTCTTGAATTTGATTTCACTTTTACGATGCAGTTAGCTATTATAGCATTTTAATTCGCAAACGATGATAGATGTAGATGTCTATGGGCCACAACCATCACTTACCATCAGGTGGACTGTGTGCTCGTCTGTCACCCTAATTCTATAATAAAAATCCTGCATATAATCGGATCTTATTTTATCAATGTTTATTAAAAATGTTTTACATAATGATTTCTTATATTTACGCGAACACTACACATTGAATAAAACTATTTTTTTTTTACGGATTTTATCGCGTTTAATATACTTATTTTATATTCCCGACGTTTCTAAAATAAGTATATTAAACGCGATAAAATCCGTAAAAAAATAAATAAAAAAAATAGTTTTATTCAATGTGTATTGTTCGCGTAAATATAAGAAATCATTATGTAAACCAGTACGGACTGGAAATAGCAAATAAAATACGCCGACTAGAAGATCTCAAAACCAAGCGCGCAAGAAACATAACAGCTTTAAACTTCTTGAAGAGATGCAGAGACCATAATCTCATTCCTACGTGTGTCAAGATATCTACTAAAAAAGACATTCGAGGAAGCGCTAAGATCTTAAATCAGGCAAGCAAAAAATTGTTAATAACGGTGATTCAGCAAAAACGTACCGATCTATGTTTCATTAATAAAACCATAGACAAATCGTCCAGTGATCTAAAGATAGTTTTATCGACATTTGATTATAAGAATTGCATGGAAACTTTAGACAAACGTGAAACAACTAAATACAATGAATGCAAAAATAAACATATAGATAAATACCAAAAACTAACAACCAAATCAAATGTCCAACGCCAATGTCAACGTAATAACGGAACGCAATCATTGACAACAGACGCGAGTAATAAACAACGTGCGATCTATAACCTGTCAAAACAATCTCTGGACGACGCGACTATAAAAGTTTTGGCCAAAGGTATGAATTTCGCTATAACACCGCAAAAAATTCCGTATGAAAACATTATCTGTAGTGTTGAGGACTGTATGTATAAAAATAATATTGGTAATGAAGATTTACAGGCTATACGTCAAGACATTTCGTCCTTGTTACGTCGAAGCTCAGCGCCGAAATTAAATCTTCCCAAAGATGAATTAACTGCATTGAAAAACTTACGCAACAGACCAGATCTTACGATTCTCCGCGCAGATAAAGGTAATGCTACCTACGGTTATAATGGATACGTCGGATTACAATTTTAAAATACAACAACTTTTATCGGATGAAAGTACGTACGTAAAGGTCAAAACAGACCCTACAACTAATACGCTTAAAACAACTAGCGATCTAATAAAGAAATACTCCGAGAAACTGAATCTAGACGTAAATTCGATAATACCTACGTGTGCCAAACCGCCGAAGTTGTATGGGTTACCAAAAATACACAAACCGAACGCTCCATTACGTCCAATAGTGAGTCAGATCGATTCGCCAACTTACAGATTGGCTCAACACTTAGCAAAAGTACTATCACCACTCAGAGGACATACAAGAGCACACACTAAGGATTCGTACCATTTTGTCAGTGAGATAAAAGACCTATGTCTTACTGATAATGAAACTATGGTCAGTTTTGATGTTCAGTCTCTATTTACATGCCTACCTGTTGAAGACTGCATCTCAATTATAACTAGGAAACTAGAGAAAAACAACATGCCAGCAGAATATGCAGTATTACTCAGACATTGCCTTACATCTGGCTACCTATTGTGGAAAGAACAGTTTTACAAGCAAGTAGATGGTGTTGCGATGGGCTCACCAGTATATCTCATTGTCGCCGATATTTTCATGGAGGACTTTGAGGAGAAAGCCCCGCTTACTGCACCAGTAACTCCAAGTTTCTACAAGCGGTACGTAGACGATACTTTCACAATTTTACCATCAGACAAAGTAACTGCATTTTTAGAACATCTTAATTCCATAAACTCTAAAATTCAATTTACTGTGGAGTTAGAGGGAAATAATTCTTTAGCTTTCCTAGATGTGTTAGTCATTCGAAATCCTAATAACACCGTAGGTCACACTGTGTATAGAAAAAAGACCCATACAAACCGATACTTAAACGGTGAATCCCACCATCACCCTTCACATTTAGCTACCGTGGGCAAATCTTTGTTGCAGAGAGCACGAGGGATCTGTGACAGCAAACACCTGGCCGCCGAGCTTCAGCACGTCAAGCAGGTTCTGCACGACAACAAGCTTCGGGTCCCGCGCCTACGTCACAGTGACCGAGTGAAGCCGGCCACAGTCGAGCGTGTGCCTGCTGTACTACCATATGTCAGAGGTGTCACAGACAAGATTGGCTACATCTTGAAGCGAGCTTCTATTAGAACATTCTTCAAGCCGCCGA